AAAATGCATTCTCCAAAGCAAAAAAGAAAGAGATGATGCAATACCTCATTATCAGACCCCATTGTCTCTCCCAAATGTCAGCTGGAAAGCTTTTATGTCAAACTCAGAAAAACATTTTTTTCCCCTCACTTTCTCTCAGGCTTTATCCAACTAGATGGAAAGAAACTTTATTTGCTCCAGGAAGACAATGGCCTTATCTTCAACCCAGATCCTCATCCCTGGAAGGTGGCCTCCTCTGGGAGCATTCTCAGAGTGGGGAAAGGCAGTTCGGGAGAAATAATGAGCAAGCAAAGGGAGTCTCGACTTGACACTGTGATAAATGAGGTGAAACTCTGGCAAGGAACCAGAGTTGGCAGATTCAAAAAGGAAATAAAAAGATAGTACCATTTTAATGGGAAATATAAAACAGCCATTGTGCAAAAGTCGATTTTTCAAAAGCCAGGGAGATAAAGACTCGAAGGGGATGACTGAGAGATGAGTGAGGTAATGCGATGGATAACCGGGCCTGGGTAAAGTGCGGTCCTCGGAGCCATCAGCTGGCTCGGTGGGAGCGCCTTTTCAAGTTGGCTATCTGCATCTGCGCTGGCCTCATTATCATATGCATCTCTGGACGGCTTCCGTACGGCTTCTGCCTGCCATGCTCCTGCCAGCTGGAGCCAGCCAAGTCCATGGTGTACAATGCACGTGTTTTTAATCTAGACAATGGGATTAAGTGCCAACGGAAGAGAAAGGACGAAATAAGCTTTAAGTTCAGAGGTGAAGCGACCCTCCCAGGGGATGCACCCACAAAGCACCTTCAGCACATGCTGCAGCCCACCCCAAATGGAAAGAGTCTTAGTGCCCCTCTTGCTCAGCCCCCCAGCTGCTTGGCCTCTGCAAACTTTCTGCAAACCCCAGACTTCTCTCTGTGAGCCACAGAGCTCCCGGCATCTCCCAAGGCCCCACGTCAATGAGCTTGAGTCCAGCCTGTCACACACTTGCTCTTCCCAGTGGACTGGCCCAGCGTGAGGTTTGCACCTTGGGAAACGCCATACACGGCCCTGCCTTTCAGTGCGCAGGATCCATGAACCTTCTCAAGGTTGTCGTTGGGTGATTCCTAATTAGCAGGCTGGCTATTCCATGGGGATGGCTTTTCCCAAGGGCAAGTGTAGAGGTACCTGAGGCCTGTACGAGGCCAAACTGAAGCAGCCAAGGGTTCAATTTAGGGGTTCTATTGAGATAAACTGTCTTAATTTATATCCTGCTGTTTATTAGCTATGTGACCTTGGGCAAGTTACTTAACCTCTTTCAGCCTTGGGTTTCTCGCGGCTAAAGCGGAGATAATAACCTAAAATGGAGATAATAACGTATCTGAATTTTTATGAGGATGAAATCGAAGGTTCATGTAAAATGCTTAGTCCAGGGCCTGGTACACAGTAAAGGCTCAGTGAACATTAGCTGTTGTGATGACTCTCTAGACACAACTCGGGAGAGTTTGATGCTGTGACCAAGAGGACAGTATAGTTCCTTTGACTTCATTAAGCTCAGGTGACTAATAAAGTTCCATCAAGAAATTTCATTCACAGAACCATCCAATGGGGCACTCAAGTGCCATTGGCTTTGACCCTGGGCAGATCTTACACAGGACCTTGGAGACCTTTCAGGCTCCAATCACCTTCATGCTGCTTCCGGATGAGAACACGCACCTTGGGAAACGCCATACACGGCCCTGCCTTTCAGTGCGCAGGATCCATGAACCTTCTCAAGGTTGTCGTTGGGTGATTCCTAATTAGCAGGCTGGCTATTCCATGGGGATGGCTTTTCCCAAGGGCAAGTGTAGAGGTACCTGAGGCCTGTACGAGGCCAAACTGAAGCAGCCAAGGGTTCAATTTAGGGGTTCTATTGAGATAAACTGTCTTAATTTATATCCTGCTGTTTATTAGCTATGTGACCTTGGGCAAGTTATTTAACCTCTTTCAGCCTTGCGTTTCTCAACCTAAAATGGAGATAATAACATATCTGAATTTTTATGAGGATGGAATCGAAGGTTCATGTAAAATGCTTAGTCCAGGGCCTGGTACACAGTAAAGGCTCAATGAACATTAGCTGTTGTGATGACTCTCTAGATACAACTCAGGAGAGTTTGATGCTGTGACCATGAAGACTAGTTCCTTTGACTTCATTAAGCTCAGGTGACTAATAAAGTCCCATCACAGAACCATCCAATGGGGCACTCAAGTGCCATTGGCTTTGACCCTGGGCAGATCTTACACAGGACCTTGGAGACCTTTCAGGCTCCAATCACCTTCATGCTGCTTCC